CACACACACACACACACACACACACACACACACACACACGAAAACTTAATGAAAAAAGAGGCCTTGAGTTTGAAAATGAGCAAGGAGTGATATACGGGAGGATTTACAAGGAGAGAAAGGAAGGGAAAATCATAGAAATATAATTATAACCTAAAAGGTAACACATTTTTTAAGTTCAAGACTCTAAATACACAGATAGATACCATGCATCTCTCAAATCATTGAATTGCGTCCTTCAAACCAAATAAGCCCTTTCACAGATTCTCTTAATTTGTACGTTTTTCCAGTTTTTCAAGGTTCATTTCAACAATTCAATAAACAACTTACTTTTAAACATTTCCAAAAATTGCCTGACACTCTAACAGTGTTATTTGTATAGACTCTTATTACAATGATTATCATATTTTGGGAAAAGATCTATACAGTAAATTGTGACTTTCCTTTTCTCTTCCATTCCATAGAAGACTTCCTCATACATAGTAAAACCTCAACTCACTTTTGTTTTTGTTTTTGTTTTGTTTTGGTTTTGGTTTTTGAGACAGGGTTTCTCTGTATAGATTTGGAGCCTATCCTGGCACTCACTCAGGAGATCAGGCTGGCCTTGAACTCACAGAGATCCGCCTGCCTCTGCATCCAGGGTGCTGGGATTAACGGCATGCGCCACCAACGCCTGGCCCTCAACTCACTTTTAACATGTATTCTCTTTCGTTTAGCTCATATATGCATATAGAAGTTTATCCAATGCATTTTGATCATAATTACTAACCTCTCCCAACTCTTCACAATCTACAATCCCTTCCTTACCTACCCAAGTTTGTGTCCTCAATGTCTTAAAACCCATCATGTCTAAATTCATGTGGCTTGGAAGGTCTTAGCTATATGGCCATCAACCTGAAGTATAATTTACCTACTAAGGGACACACCCTTAGACAGCACTGACTCTTTCCCTCCCAGCAGCAATCAATTGCCAGTGTCTCCTTAGCTCCTATAAGAAATGTGTAGTCCACAACCACATGCTGGGACTCTTGTCAGGCTTGATGTTATCTGGGTCTTGTGGATGCTATCACGGCCTCTGTGAATGCATATGTTTAGATGCCCTGCAGAATCCAAAAGGTGCCATCTTTATCATACAGTCTTTCTGCCCACTCTTTGGCAATGTTCTCTGAATCTTGTAGGATGAAGAGTGGGATATGGTGGTCCCATTCAGGTATTTGGAGATTATGACTTAAATTTCATTTATTTCAAAGATGTCTATGTTGAATCATCTATTGCCTTTAATCAACAGAGATTTGACTTCCCACCTCCCAAATGCCACATTCAGGTTTAGAAGTGTTTTATATGCAACATTTTTATTTAGCTAACATAACATGATTATTTGTCATTAAATTTATGAAGAGATATGGTTAATCTATTTATTTTAATTTTCCCTTGACAGATGATTTAGATTACAACTATGTAAAAGCCAAAGGTCATGACAATAATGGTATCATAAACAAAAGACTGTTTTAGTGCATTTATGATAACTTATCTGTGTGTGGCTGTGTCAGGGTCACAGGGTCCTGTGATGATTAATGAGAAATGATACTTCTCATGGTAAGAAATGGTTTCAAACCATTAATTCCAGAACTTAGCAATTTAACAAAAGGGTAAGATATAGGCACTGAAAATTTAACGTTGACACAGAATTTTAAAAGAAAATGAATGCTGCCATTTTCTTAGTAAATACATAGTTAGAGATTCAAAGAACAAGTAAGGGATTGAGACTTGAAGTACTAGAACTGAGTATGCATAAAATTGGACATATTTATGAGCTCTATAGACCATAAGTTCAAGGATACGGTCAAGTTCCTTCCACTACTATTCCTAAGTAAACATCCTGTTATGTTTCAGAACATGTTTGACAATACAGAAATAGGCATGTTTAGTTAATAAGTGGGGTGTGCTTCAGAAGCCTATAGACCCCCCTCTCTGTTGGCTCCCCAGAAGCCAAATAACAAAATATGTGTGTGTGTGCATGTGGCACAAAAATTTGAAAATACAATTATGATAATAAAATTGCCAAACAGACTATGTCTAATAGGAGTTAGTAGCACCAGCCATATCAGGAGCTATTAATATTTTCTCAGATACATTTTCTTTATTTTCAAATTCTTAATTGAATAAAAATTAAGTTATTGAAAGTAATTACAATACATTCTTATCACTAATGCACCATTATAATACATCATATTTCTGGCATACCTGCTTAGGATGCAGTAGGCACATGTGAAAGTTACAAATTAGTCAGAGTAATCTAAATTCCACCAGAAGACCTTAATAAACTGATATTAGATATTCATGAGAATGTGTTTTATTACAAAGGAATGGTACCATATCCTAAGATTGTCCCCTCATAATAAAGAACTAAGTAAATATATCTCTTACTTTAAGTAGATTGCTTTTAAGGTAAGGAAGATGACAAAAACAATATAGCTATTTGCTTTGACAATACAATAATCAGAACGTAAGTCACACTTCTAAGGGAGATCCCATTCTAGCAGCCTACATGAGAGATTCAGAGGAATACAGAGGTCCTTCATGTAATGTGAAATCAATCATCTGCTGCTGACATGGCCAGATGTTTAGATTGTCCTTAGTTTCTTTATATTAGAAATATCAAATACTCATGTTGGAAGCTGAATTACCATAGTATATTACTTTCTCTCTCTGTATTTCTCTGTCTCTGTCTCTGTCTCTGTCTCTGTCTCTCTCTCTCTCTCTCTCTCTCTCTCTCTCTCTCTCTCTCTCTCTCTCTCTCTCTTTCTCCTCATGTTTATATTCCTGAGTGAAGATAAAATTACTTTGAAATCAAGTACATGGAAATCAGGAATTTTAAGTACCTAAGAATTTTAAGTATTGAGACACATGAGTTTATTAAAGAAAAGAATCGTCTAAGACTTCCAACTCCTTCTTCCCATTATGCTTTAATAATGCACAGCAGAAACTTTTAAAGACACAAAGACAGTTGAGAACTGAAAAACTGCAAGGAATGAGACTCATACCAGAGACCACCAACGACTTTTATGCCACTAGTGCATAGCCACACCCCACCACCAGACATGGAAGAATAAAGGATCCTTATAGTGTACAAATTGATTATACTCATGGTTAACCTATTTCATAAAGTACCTGATGTATGGCACACTGTGGGTGAAGGCACATTCCACCAACCCTGAAGATTTCAGTTTGATTCTTAAAAATCATATGGCACAAGAAGAAAAGGGAAAGTTGTCTGTTCTCTCCATATGTACCATGGCACGTGCAGGTATACATGAACACACATACACAGGTAATTGTAAAACCAAAAAAAAGAATATTGATAGTACTATGTGTATGAACAGAAAACTCACCAGATACAGCCAGAAAGTCATCAATGCTGGTGATGTCATCCACTGCTTCGGTAAGAACATGTATATAATGTTCCCATGTGCGCTTATACATTTCCATGGTGTTTTTGACCACTTGACTCTTCGGTCTTGATGCCAAAGCAAGTGCAGCATTTATGATCTGTAAAGATATTGATAATGCTTACATAGTCACTTCCTTTTAAAAATAAGAATCAATGTACAGGACATCAAGTAGTCTTTTTTCTTCTTCTTTGCATAATTAAACTTGAACATCCTTACGAACCAGGCAAAAGAAACATGTTGCTATGTGTCATCGCCTTTGTTTTGGTAAAATATCAGTTTTGGCAATAATTTTATCTTAAAAATTATTTATTGTATGTCATTGCCAAAGGATGGCAGTATATAGAAATATAATGGATGTCTGCATTTAAGGAGGTTAGATATCACTCAGTGTGATACATATAATTATCACATGATTTAGTATGTTAATGCCATTAGAAAAAACATAGAGGTGATAGTGCTTTAATAAATAAAGAGATTATTGTTCATATAGGTGCCAAGGAAAGCTTTGGGGAAGTGTGACATTTTTTTATTTACTTTTAAGATTTACTTTTATCTATGTGTATATGTGTGCATGCCACTGTGTGGTAGCACCAACAAAGTCCAGAGAGGGTGAAATGTGCCCTGGAACTAGATGCACAGGCTGCTGTAAGTGACCTCTTAATGACTCAGCAATGTCTCCAGTCCTGTAGTGGGACATTTTTAACTGGGCACTTATTTTCATTCACTATCCCCTGCATGAAAAACAAATTAAAATAGGAGGTTTGACATATTAGAGAGTAAATACCTCACTTTACACATCCATTTTTATATCCATTCGTTTCCTATCTCACATACATTTGCTTATAAATCAAGTAAAGATCTGTAGGTCTTAGAACAGGACATAGAAGATGATATAAGCAAATGTTACAACTTCTGTGGAGATGATATCCCATCCGGGGAAAGCAGACAACTGGCAAGTCAAATAAGTAAAATAGCAAGTCTATAAAAGAGTACCTAAAACTAGGAAGGAAACAAGGGCAAGGAGTAGGGTGGTGGCAATGGGGGTGTGTTAAATTTGAGGAGGTCCTTGCACTGAAGCAGACATTTAAATAGTATAATCAGTAGTGGGGATATGAGAGACAGAGAAGTTAGAAGATTCAAAAAAAAAAAAAAGGTACATGGAATTTCTGTGAATACAGTAAAACAGTTTATCCAGAGCCTGGATAGGTAGAGTGGGGCAGGAGTTCCTGACTCGTACTACAGGACTACATCAGAAAGGCATGTGGTGTTTGAACCATCTGTGCGGTGCTGTGCTATAGACAACTTAAGATCTCAACACACAGGTGGTTATAGGAGTGAAGAAGAGCCTCAACTGTGATGGTAGAGATAATGAAAAGGGCTTCTTAGGATTTAAAACTAACTAAAGGATTATAAGGGTGTGTCAATGATTCCTGTAAGAAATATATATATATATACATTTATACATAAAATAGATGGAAACATATCATAATGTAACATACTTCATGGGAATAAACTAGAAATACACGAATCAGTGCCACAAATTGATGGTTGTATCTGTGTAATGGAAAGTGAGTTTTCTCCCCCTCTGATATTTTAGTGAATTTTCCAGAGTTTCTATGGTGAATAAATGCTAGTTGTATTGTCAAAATAAATGACGCTATACTTGAAAGAAAGATGATTAATATAGTTTTTGCATGAGAATTGGGAAGAATTGTGATGGGACTTTGAATAGAGAGCTTATCAGATATTAAATGCAAGTCATGGTTTTAGAGGTCTGAGTTAAAGAACAGATTTAGCTGTTGGCTGTCCTATTACAGAGTTCGGCATTAAAGTCACTCTGTTTCCATAAAAATACAAAATGTGATTCAAAGATTTGCAACTAGAATTCATTTTGAAGTGTTATTTTCTCTTATGTTGTTCATATATTGAAGTAAATTGTGGCTGCGTAGCCAGAGTCTTATAAGATTCCATACCAGATACATCACAATGGGAAAGGTGTTATCCCTATTTCTGTCCTAATACAGCCATAATCTCTCCAGGGAATCAGCTCAAATCCTGGCAAAGGTGGCCCAACAGAGAATGCTTCTGACTTTAGCCTGTATCTGAATCAGAAAATTCCTAAGCCACACTCCTCTGGCTTCTGGCTCAGTTAACCAATGATGAGACTCAAAACTTGCATATCCAAGGAATTCTCAGGTGACTCTGATGCTACTAGTCAGAAGTCCACAAAATAAGATTTTCCTCTGGCCTCATGTATCTTGGTGTTGAGGCAGCATGGAAATAGACAATGACACAAACATTTCTCAGCAGCAGCAATTTGAGAATCTCCCTCCCTGGTTCCAGGAAACCCAGTCTTCAGACTTACAGATAGCATAAAGGCATTCTTTGTTGCCATCCTTACCCATCTGTCTTCTAGAGGCATCACTATCATTTTATTTTTTGCTGCTTTTGAACACATGGAAAATCTTGCCCTTCACCAGTACTTGGCAGTTCTCATACACCATTTAGGTATCTCCACAGCTGCAATACTGGAACCCTAGTCATGTCAATTTACAGGCGAGGAGACTGGGGGAAGGGAAGGTTTTGTCCCAGTTCTTTAGCTAAGAAATGGTAGTCAGGAGGCAAACTCTACACCCCCTGCCATGACAGAGCATGTCCAGCTATATGTCCCTGCCAGCAACTTGTCAATCAAATCCTACTACCACCTCTCATTCATGCCAATTCCATTTTTCATCTTGTTTCTTTTTATAGGAAATAAACTTGAAGCCATAGCCTAGATTGTTCATCTCCGCTCACAAAAGAGTCACATTCTTTCACTAGTGAAAACCATGTTGATATGGAGTATTATTTCAAGTATTTGTTTTTAAAAATTCAACAGATGTCTGTGTTGTTGTTGCATCACTTGGATGTTTTGCTTTTGTTTGAGAGTTATCAATTTGCCCATGAGATCGTTGGAGTAGGTGGTGGTAGGCTTCTCACTCTTCAACACTAACCACTAACCACTCTTGAAACTTGTAATACCAAATAACTTTCTGAAGCTGGTCTGTAGTGCTAGCAAGATGATAGAATAGGACTTTAAATAGCATACAACACTTCAAAACAAGGATCACTACCAAAGACCATTGGTAAATGGGATAATGTAGGAGCAATCCCAAAGGTGCCTCTGCATGGAAAGGGTACTCTGCTTCATGAAGAAAGGTACCCCTAAAACATGAAATACGAAAATGGGTATCAATTAATAGGACAAGTGGCTACTTTTCTGTTTTCAAAAACAGTAACAGCAAGATAGATCCTGAACCCATTAATCAGAGAATGTTCAGCAAACACAACACAGGAACAGAGTTGTAAAGACAAAAACCATGATGCCTAAGGAAAGAAAAGACCCTGTGGGGTTAAGACTAAGGGGAAGTAGAGAAGGTGACATGGTCAAAGAAATCTCCTTTAGGAAAGAGGTAGAAGACCAAAGTGGTTAAGGGCCCCATGATAAAGATACTTTCAAAATTTCAGTGGTAAAAGAGGGGTAGACAAAATGAGGAAAACCAGGGGACAGGGGAACCATCAAAGAGTTTTGTTGGTAGAGGACGTACCAGATGCGATGCTTAGTTTTAATGGTCAACCTGACAAACTTTTAATCACCAAGCAAGAGAGGCTCAATGAGGGATTGTCTACATTGGATTGGTCTATGGACTTTCTGTAGAAGAGCACCATAATCAAGTTAACTGATGTAGGAGGACCACACCAATCCTTGCACAAGGAATCTGGACTATATCAGAGTATAGAAAGCTAGTTGAGCATAAAGCTGATCTTTATGCATCTATTTTTCTCTGTACTTGGCTGTGGAATGATGTGGCAATTTTCTTACAGCCAATGTGACTATTCTGCTATGATATACTATAACCTGGCTTTTTATTGCTGGCATATATACAGCAGGCATGGTGACACACTAGGTGGAGGTAAAGGATCAAAATCCCATGGCCATCCTCTGCTACATAATGAGTTGGAGGACAGCTTTTCTAAACAAACAAAATACGCTGTTAGATATCTGGGTTCACCAACTATAATGACTGCACTTGAATAAAATACCCTTTCCATTCAGTGAGCTAACTCCTCCAACACCTTGCTAAAATGGGTTTCTTTCAATAGCATATTACAGGTAAAAAACTGGGTTCACTTGTTTAAAAATATTATGGTGGAATTCTTTTATTTCTTTGCTCGTGAAAGAGGAGCACATTAAATTTTAACAAAATGTGCTGTAACTTTGGATATAACTCTGGTGAGGTGCCCCCTTGACTTTCAGTTTTAGAGTTTTATTAACCTATTAACTTGCAATGTACCTTTGTGTACCACTGAAAAAGCTCCAGTCTCCCGTGTTTCCTTGTTCTTGCAATTGGACAGAGGTGTACACACTTAGCTGTGCTGAAATGATGGCTTCCCAGCCAGGCACATGCTTTAAGTACTGGAGCGGAAGCTGCAGTGGGATGTGCAGCCATGAATATATGACAGGTGATATTTTGCGAGAACATTTTCAGTTCAACTACTGATCCAATTTATCTGATTCAACACTGTACTCTATGAGAAAGCTTTATCCTGCTTGACTCTGCTGATATTCAGCTTAAATCTAAAAGCAGACACAATTTGGAAGATGTACTAACCCTCTTGAAGACGGAAAAAATATTTCTCCTGAGTCACATTTCTGGCATTTTAGCTATACACACTGGACAGAAAAGATGACCATCCTCAAGACTTCTTCACATCTAGCTAAAAATTTTCAAATGAAATTTCTTGCTTTCGGAAATGTTTTCTTTATGTCATAGTTGAGCTGTGTGTATATTAGAATCACCCTGGACCTGGCAATTACCTGGTCAGTCAGTTAGCATTTAAGGGTGTCTTAAAACTCAGGCACTTATTATATTTTTACTGGACTGTTTTTACAACCTGATAAAAGTTCCCTACTTCCAGCTGCTATTTTCTCCAAACCACTTTCTTTACTGTGAACATATATTTCTTTCTTAAATTCAGAGAGGGTCATGCCCCTCACCTGCTGGTACCTTCTTGTAGAATCATAGCTGACTAAACACACAATCTCAATTCCATTTC